GCTAATAATGCTTTCAATGTCATTAATCGTGTTTCGAAAACGACATCAAGTGTAGGTCGGCAACGCCTGATCAACATAGCGAAGGCTATCACAACAAGATTGATCAAGTCTGAACTCTGCATCCAGAAAGAACATGTCCAAGTGTTACTTCTCACTTGACACCTTCAGTTAACTAAAGGTCACTCCCACCATCTTATTCGTTATCTTTTTGTTCATCACCATCATATTATTCTTCTGTAAATATGTATCATCCTAATATTGACTAACTGGAAAAAGATAAATCGATTTCTTTACAATCCCTAGAATATTTTTCATCCAGAATGTTGATTTTTAACAATGTTTAACGTTGAACTTTACGATCACTTTTCCTTCCCCACTGTATGTAGAGTGATTTTGAGGGTAGCTACCCTAATTACAACTGAAGTAACCAACTGAATTTATTTACTTCGGTTAGAAAGTTTGATTTTTCATAAAGGAAAGAAATCTGATTGGCTATTTCAGTAATAACTAGAGTAATCTTGAGTGTCACTCCGTGTATACACTCACTGCGTCTGATCGTCAATCAACTGATATGGTTTACACTCAACTTATCACCACAATTGACAAACATAGATGTAAGTTACACTATTATCCACAACCTTAAACAATCTAATTACATTTTTGAAGTAGTAGTAGTAGTAGGCAGCAAAGATGGGATTTCAAGCGAATACAGAGAAAACAGAGGTGATGAAGATACCCAACCAATAACAACAAGCTCCAGTCACCATCAACGGGAGAAACTTGAAGGAAGTAGCCTCTCTCACCTACCCAACTGGGCAGCATCGTTTCAACTACAAGCGGCACACATACAGACGAGGACGTCAAGGCCAGACAGGATCGGAAAAGCAAGACAGGAATTCATTAACCTGAAACCAGTGTGGAGATCTTCTGCACTCAGTATGTAGAACAACATCCAGATTTTCAACACCAATTCAGTCAAGTCAGTGATCCTGTATACTTCAGAGACTTGGCGCGTCACGAAAGGGAAGGCCGATGGGCGACATCAAGCACCAGGCTAGGTCGTCGACTGGAACCCGTATGGGAAACTACGAGTTGGGCGTCCGATCTGAGGGTGACATGGAGGAGATCGTGCGAGGAAGAAATGAGAGCTTGTGGGCTATCGTGGAGCCAGGTTCTCAAAAGATTTCAGAGAACAGAGCGCATTGGAGACTTGCTACTGAAGCCCTATGTTCCATTAGGAACCCAAGGGACAAATAATAATAATAGTTATCATGGACTAATTGATATCAGTAGGAGAACTGTGTGCACTGGACAGCTGCTTCGTCCCAGTATTAGACTTCTTGCCAGGGGTCGAACTCATGACCTTAAGTGTTTCACAGCGAACGTACTAACCAACCAGTCATCGTAACGGAGTCCAATATCCTAATCCACTCATTTCGGACAAGTGCCTAAGAAGACTAAACGAGAGACAGGAGGGGTTCACGACTACTAATAACGACAATAACAGTCCTGAATAGTTACCTGCCTACATTCCTACTTGTGTAACAGGATACAACATACTGTTCATAGAGGGGAGCGCTCCACCTCATTGCTCCCTAAGGAGACATCACTTCCCCAAGTCTTTCCTTATCCTTTCAGCATGACCTAGTATCAATTCCATCAAGTATGCTGATAATCTAACAGTTTTATTACCTGTCTCCTCTTCAATAGATCGTTCCTAACTGAATGATTTCCTATCTACTGTGTTAGACGATGGTCCTCTGTGAATGATCTTATGCTTAATTCTTCAAAATGTCACACGATAAACTTTAGTTTTAGACATGAACATAACCTATATAAACTGCTTATTTCTCATGATTCCCGCTCTATTGAAGACTGTGTATTAGAGAGTGTTATAAGTGGGATTTATCTCGGTGTGCGTTTTTCTTCTCACCTTTTCCTGGTCTTCCCATAATCTTAGTAATTTCCAAGAGAAATTTCGGCCTAACTTTCGATATTAGGAAGCTGAAAGTATCTAGTATTACTCAGTGTCTCCTCTGTTGTGTTTTATAAACTCCTGTATATTGCTTGTCCTCCTCTATTGCTCCCGTTTATTCTTTCCTGGGTTGCTGAAAAAGACTATACTGCTGTATTGCGTAGAAGTTTGAAGATTATCAACAGAACTAGTAGTGTACCCCTAAACCGTCTAATTGCAACTGTTGTGGACAGACATCGTAACCTAGGTGAGCACCTGGCAAGAGTTATTTTATCAGATGACTAACATCCCCGTGATGCTCTTCAGAATTAAGCCATTATTATTATTGTTATTATTATACCTTGATCAGAGAAAACGATCCTCACTTAATATACAGTTATCCTAACAAACCGCTCACCATAAAATGCACAAAGACAATAATTGGTTGAAGTTAGATTAAAAACTGTTCTGCAGCTAGTATCTCGTAGCTTTCAGTTGGTGGTACAGTATCAACCCTAACTTAGAAGTAGCTAACTTGACGATTCCTGCTACAATGAAAGCATAGCTATGTCATACAATTAAACTTGACATTGACTGATAAAACTAACGTCGAACAGGTGGATAGAAAGAAACTGATATCAAAGTAGATAAAAGTTAATACAAATATTCACGCTTCAGAAAGTGCCCTTAGTGACTGATCTTCAACCATTTCACCACGTTATCCTGTATAAAACATGTATCCGACCACTGATCGAATATTGTTCATTTATATACAGCAGTATAAGGGTTACGGATAGACTGAAAGTTGAAGGAGTGCAGAGATACTTTACGATGAGAATAGTCAACACGAATAAGGACGTAAAATATGCCATGAGGTGCAACATCCTAGGACTTGAACCACCATGGAAACGAAAGCTCAGACTGAACCTGAGGCTGTTTGTTTTATAAGCTCCTTAACAGGTGAACTTATAGCATATGCATAGACATGTGGTTCATAAACAAAACTGCCTATGGATCCAGAAAGGTAACTGCAACAGTAGCAATTGAGCATTTCAGAACAGTTACTAAGGGCGAACTTCTTTGTGATAAAATATGCTCAGATATGGAACATCTTACCTAGGGTAGTACGAGTACTTTGACTAAGTTTATACGCAAGTTTAACTCTACACTACAGGACAGCACCATAAAAAGCACCACTAATACTGCCACTAGAACTACTGACATATTATGAACCTCAACGATACAGAGGCTACACCTGCTTTTGTTGTTTTTTTCTACCAAAATTTCAGATGGTTGCAACATGAAGATATCATTAGACTATGAAGAAACTGGACTATGATGAAAACTTACCGAATTATCTGGAAATCTGAACGCTTAACGATCAAGCGATTTAACTGGGATCCTCGAATACCCACATCATCAATGATGACAACAAGACACAAATGAGAAATATACGTTACTAATTCTCAACATTCCACTTCTTTTCGAAGTAATGAAACTATGCTCCCACGAAAATTACTGTCCAATAAGCAAGAATTACTAATCCAATTCACTCATTTGACCCTCTCACCATACGAACATATATCAATCCTAGAACTACTCAAATTTCTGGACAATCATAATGGCATCGAAAATCTGGACAGACAGTAAAATCCAGGAGATTAACTCACCTATTAACTTTAAAGTGAACATATTCACAATAATGATATACAACTGACTTCTCTAGTACTTCAGTTAACAGTGAACATACCTCCTTGATAATGCTGCCTACCTTAACATGAACAGTATGGAAAACTTATTCCCATTGGTCTCTAGTTTTTTTTCAAATACACAGATATTCACTTGGATTACGTGATTATGTGGAAAGTTACGGAGTCTCGACATCGTCAGTGTGAGTTCTTCTGGTACCCAAAGCTATAAGCATAAGAATTTATAGTAAAATAGACGTTTATATAGCGTAACGGGGCATCGCAAAGACGAATCGAACATGTCGACTGCTTGTAACGGAAATTTGGAATTTCGCTCGACCTTGATGACACTAATGGTGAAAAAAGAAAGTATGACTGAGAACAATCGAAACTTTAACACTCTGTATATGCTGAAAAGTGGTATATCTTGCTCATTTCATAACTTGTGTAATCTGGTGTTTTTAATCTATTCCAAGTTGTTATTCATCGAAGACTGACATCAATTGGAGGAACAAAGGAAACCTGGGAGCACTGGACAGCCAACTGTTTCCTCCTAGTATGGGACTCCTCAGCAGTGCGCACCCACGACCCCACCAGGAGGGGTCGAACCCGCGACCTTCGGGTTCCGCGACCAGCGCGTTACCACTGAGCCACTGGGTCAGAATCCTATGCTCCATATTTCCAACTTCTGTTAGCTCACGATATAGCGCAAACCGCCACCCAATGTCATCGTTGAGTATTTGTCCTCACGGCCATCAGGCTTTGACTCCACCGGTCACGACTTGTCATTGGAACTTCGGGAATACTTCTCGAAGCTAGTCACCAACGAGCACTAGTTCAATTAAATTTTGAGGGGGTTGTGGAGATTTGGAAATATTTCAAGTTGTTATTCATCGAAGACTGACATCAGTTGGAGGAATCTAATTTAATGACCTCCATTCTCTACGATTTAGATCCCGTAAAATCTTGTACATTTTCCAATATATATCAATGTGATTATGCCTGTAAACTGGCTTCTCTCCGATTTCCATTGTCTCAGGGACCTCAATCAAACAGTCTACATCTCCTTCGCCAAACAACTCACGCCAACAGTCAAGCACTTCATCGACTGATGTCAAGTCTTGGTGTAATCACCCTGAACTTCTGTCTTCCAACTTCTCTTGACATTATAAATCAAGGTAAGCAGTGAGTTGGGTATGCACAATACATATCCAAGCCATCTCATTCGACTAATCTTCACAATCTAGTACCCTTCGCCTGACCTAAAACACTCTCAACACAATGACTCCACTACATACAAACAATACTCTACAAAGACACCACCCCAACGATTAACATTGAAACCAAGAGATACAACTGTATAACAAATTAATTTCTTTTTATTTTCAAAGTATATTATCACTTTTATATGTTTAAAGTAAATCACAATCTTGTCAAAGTTCTTTATTCATTGTGTCAAACGTATATCATGATCATGATCATCATCATCATCATAACAGTGGTATTGTCAAAAGATTAGGTTCAACAAACACAGAGCCATGCACAACAGCACACACACACACACACATGCAAACACCCACTGATAGACATATATTTACACATAGAGTAGAACCAACGCGCGCGCGCATATGTGTGTGTGTGTGTAGAGATATGCATTTTACAAATGAACCGATAAAACAGAATACATACACACTTACTACTAATAAAATACAATGATAGCATGAAAGACCAATCACATTACATCATACCACACTACACCATATTACATAACATCACAACGATGAGAACAATACACACACACACACATACATATGTTGGACAGAAAATGTGTATATAAGGCAAGATTCCAATACATTCATTCAATTATTCTGTCCAAATGAAATGCTTCTCAAGGAAAAACCATAGAAAGTTGGATACGATTAAGGAATGAAGAATTGCACCGCATAACTTAACCTGATGTACGAGGGAAATGATAAAGACGTTAAGAAAAAAGGGGACCATTATTCGCACCAGAAAAAAAAACACCATCATATATGCAAGAGTCACCGGAGGACAAATTAGTCTTCAGAAACAGTATGTAAAGACAACAACAACAACAGAACAGAAGAGTCACCAGCTTTCATATGTATATGTGAGTGTGTCTGTGTACATAAGTGATATAACGTTTTTCTGGATACATATTCACGTGTATTGACTATGCATTACACACATACATATACATATATCACAGAGAATCTGTGCAATAGCGATAGCAAGCACCGATAAGATCGAATCAATTTCAACTGTCGTCCCCCCCCCCCGCGGTCATCACAAAATGACCAAAAAACCAATGTTCCCACTCCCCACCCTACTCTCATTTTTTTTCTCTTGTTTACAAAACAAAAAAATTCAGTTTAGAGCACAAGGAGGATTATAACAATACTAAAAAAAAAAGCAAGAAGGCGGGGGGGGGGCAGGAGGAATAAAAAAAAACACAAACTGATCTCGACTTATAACTTCTTCGTTTTTTTTTTTAATGTGTTTTGTCTTGAAAACAGATATTTTCTTCAGTCAGTTATCAATGTAGTGAATATAAGACAAAGGATAATATGAGAACAATGATGCCCCACCTCGTATGCACATGATATATAATAAGATAAAATAGGCAGGAGAGACAATAAAATCCGAGGAAGACATTGAAGTGGATAGAAGCAACTTTTGAACAAAGACTGTTTAGTCGATGGAATGTGAACAATAATTCACACGAATACACACACACACACACACACAAAGTGAAGAGATAAAAATTCTGGCACATGAAGCATAGTTAATCGGTTGGCCACCATTATTACTATTATTATTATTATTACAATAAATACAGAATCTTATCGTATCGACTACAAATCTCTACTAAACAGAAAACAAACTATGCCCAAAAAAAAGGAAAATGAAGATGATGGATGCATAACGTGAAGAAATCGGAAACAGAACATACAGGACACATATAGTGCTACATTAGTCATCCTACTCCAACAGCTAATGAATATAGGCATCCTGATGTAATTGGTTAGATGGTCACAGTTGGTTATTCTTCTCAATTCAGGTTACCATTTAACTGGATATATGGTGTAGATATAAAATGCGTGAGGTCATTAGTGGATAATTGTGTGTGTGTGTGTCCGATACAACCAACGCCAACTGGAATCGACGCATCATAGGAATTGACACAGAAGATGGATAAAAAGTAGAAAATAATGATGACAAGACTAATACAACGCATATATGCACAGACAATAAATAAAAAAGAAAAAAGAAATTAAAAATTAAGGAATGTCTCTTCTTTGTATCTTCTTCAAGGCATTGAAAACATTCAATGTCAACTAAAAGAAACCGCTTCGTGTTTATTTCGACCTGGACTCCTGTCTCACACACACACACACACACACACATATAGAGGACTATGATACAACACACTAAATAGGTTGAATAAGACATTGCAATGGGTGTTAAACGTAGAACAACCATATACACAGCAGTAATAATATAACACATAAAAATAAGCAGAATCATTGATAAGAAAAGATAGGTAATCAGAAAATATAGAAAGATAACAATCACCATGCCTATCATGATTGATTCACACGGAGAATAATATAAACACAATCTATAACCATACACACAAGACAATAGAAAACAATACAACACGAGTTCGTACCAAAGACTAAGCCGACCAATCAGTGAACAGATACACATATATATATCATTATCAGACTTGATTACACTGGAGTAGATTAGAACAATCGTTTCGATCAGATAAAAGTTGACGATTACACTTAGTAGTAGTTATTAGACGATTATCTGATGATTTACTGTTAACCATTGAAGAAGTCTTGTTAACACATGACGACGACGATGACGACGACGACGACGACGATTTCGATGGAATACATTTTAAATCATTACTACTTCTAGATGGTAGATTAATTTTATTTCCAGATAAATTACCATTACTATTACTACTACTAGTAATAGTAGTATTTCGTGAATCAATAAGTCGTTGCTTTAATAATCTTAATTTATGCACCATTAAAGTTAATTGAATTTCATCATCATGATATTTTGGTGTACGTGAACGACGCATAAATTTATCTAATTGATTTGCTAAATGTATTGTATTAGCACTATCGAATCCATCAATTTTTGTAGCTTCTAATAATTGTGTACGTAGATTACTAACAGTTTTCCATATATCTGAGAAAGAATGATACATACGTAGATATGTAGGATATGTACATTCAAATTCTGTTAAATACATTGAAGCTTGTTCTGGTGTAGATATTTGTGGATAAAGTCTACAAAAGTTTAAAAATATATATATATATATATTACATAATAGACTTGATAGTAAATACTCCATATATATGTATATATATTAAAGTATACATTTAATAAACATGTAAAGTGTAATCAAGATAATCTAACCAATCAGATGAAAGGTAGAAACATTCATAGAATAACAAAATATGATTGGTTATTTCAGTAATTGTTAGTTGATTGAAAATAACTCATGTCATCCAGTGTTGTATGTAGTCAATAACTTTATCATTGAGCTATTCGAGCCACAATTGATCTCCTGTATTGATTGGTCACGGGAGTTCAACCAATTTCATGTTGTCTACTCTACACTGAACACTAAATCCTATCCATCATATTCGTAATGTGACAACCAAGCTAGGTAGATCACCATCACGGTGTATATTAGTAGGTGTTAGTTGGTTGGACACAATCGGCAACAAGTCCTGCTTCATCTACGTTTCGTCAGATTTCAACTTATGTCACCCAGTGTTGTAGTCAGTGACTTTACCACTGAGGTATTCAGCCACGATTGACCTCTTGTATTGATTCGTCACGGGAATACAACCAATTTCATGTTGTCTACTCTACACTCAACACTAAATCCTATCCATTATATTCGTAATGTGACAACGAAGCTAGGTAGATCAGCATCACGGTGTATATTAGTAGGTGTTAGTTGGTTGGACACAATCGGCAACAAGTCCTGCTTCATCTACGTTTCGTCAGATTTCAACTTATGTCACCCAGTGTTGTAGTCGGTGACTTTACCAATGAGGTATTTCAGCCACGATTGACCTCTTGTATTGATTGGTCACGGGATTCAACCAATTTCATGTTGTCTAGTCCTGAGTGCAAACTGAATTCTATCGATCATATTTACAATGTGGCAACTAGGTGGGATATTAATTCTATCGAGGTTGCAGATAAGCCTTGCTGACGAGTGCCAAAAAGTACGAAACCTGAATGAAGCAGGGCTTCCTGCCGATTACCTTTAATCAACTAACATCTACTAATATGCACCACGATGCTGAGCTACCTAGTTTGGTTGCCATATTGCAAATATAATCGATAGGATTCAGTCTGCACTCTAGAGCAGACAGCATGGAATTGGTTACACTCCCATGACCAATCAATACAAACTTCAATAATTATTATACAAGGCTTTAAAGTAACTCTATAAAAACAACCTTCATTACTTAACAGATTAACGTTGAACCTCAAACACAAGTGGATCCATTCAACTTGCCATACTTCACAGTACAATAATACAAAGAACTACTTCGACAGAAACAGACTGAAGAGAACCGAATAAACAACTTGAAGATAACAGTTAATGCAAAGATTCAAGATTTAGAAGACATCTAAGCCTTCAACTAATCATTCGTAGCGTCTTGAGAACCTCCGGCATATTCTGAAAAACTTCCAGGAATACCCTACACAATTTTCAGCATCATCATTATCAACATAGGACCAGGCATTACTGCGTAACGGTCCCACTTGCCACACCTCATATCAGCAGATCAAGCAAAAAGGTAGTGAGGTTAAGGATGAAGATAAGCGAATGCAGTCAAAAGAAATATAAAGCATGAGAAGAAAGGAAAGAGGAGTGACAAAATGGTGAGATTCGGTATAGCATCGTTAAGATGACGATAATGTGTGTATACATTTGCGCCACTGACATCAACTCTGAGGCATATCGCCTAGGGTCTCCAACCACTGGTTCCTCTTGTCCCGTGGACCCCAACCACCTAGTCTACATCGCCACACATGGCTTAAACCAATAGTCAGAGACTTCATACATTGATGCCATGTTTTAGTCTGGCCACCTCGGGCTTTTTTCCAGCCTGGACTCACCTCAGCCAACATTGTATGATGAGGCAATCGGTGACTAGGCATATGTAGTACGTGTCCCAGCCACCCATCTCAGTCGATCAACATTCATTACCTCGTCAACTGATTTACCTCTTCTCTATTCCCTAAAACTCTATACCTGACTTCTGCATTACTCACGTGGTGACACCACGGAATATGGACTATACATACTACGAAGGTAATGGTGGTCAAACACCTGAAGCCAGCCTTCTCATATCTTCCACTTTCAATGGCCATGTTTCACAGCCATACAGTAGAACAGAGCGGACTGCTGTGCAGTACACGCGACCCTTAATAGACAAACGAATATCACGGCGGCGCCATAGGTGGCGCAAATTGGCAAAAGCCAATCAAGCCTTTTGTATCCGTGCAGAGATCTCATCGGCAACTAACCCACCGGGGTTGATCCTACATCCCAGGTAAGTGAAGTGGTCAACACACTCAACCAGCATATCACATAGGATCAGTTGGTGGGTAGAAACAAGTTGATATGTAAATATAATAAAACGAAGTAGATAGAAATTATATACAATATCGAGTCATCCGAATAGAAGCCCATATGCCAATAGAGGTCGAACAATTTGATTCAACAGAACAACGGAGAATCACAAGTATATCAATAAATAGTAATAACTACTACCCGTTGTACAAGAAGTGGCATACTGCATAACGCCTTGACGTTTGAAACGGTGGGTATCACATTCGAGTCTCAGTGGGAACAACATTACTGCGGTGCAGGCACATCCAGCTGATGAGTCCCGGATAGGACGAAACAAGCGTCTTAGATTCTTCTACTAACCACAACCAACCAAATTATCATAATCAACATTCAGGCAATATCGAGTCATCCGAATAGGAGCCCATATGCCAATAGAGGTCGAACAATTCGATCCAACAAAACAACGGAGAATAGCAAGTATGTCCATTTACAAACTTATTGAAAATGTAGAGTTAACTTAGGTAGATAATCACATCAGCAACAATTCCATTCTATATTTAGTAGTACATTCATACAGTCTCATCTACTTGTTGCTTGTCTTTCCAGATGACCGACACGTAGAGAGCTTCAAGTGAAGAGGATGTTGATCATCTGATAAAATAACTGCTGTCCAATGTTTACATGAGCTAATATGTTTGTGCACAACTGTTTTAATGAGAAAGTTTAGAGGTACACACACCGAGATAAATCATCTGGAACCTCAAAATCCAGGGTTCGATTTCTGTCTGTATAGTGTGTGTGTGTGTGTGTGTGTGTTTGTTCCTCCACTACATAACAGTATACATAAAATCACGTACATAGAGTAAAAAGAAACTGATGAGTCATCGCGAAATTGGTCACTTTTGCCAGGCTATAACATAGAAGAATTTTATACATCGGTTATATATGTGTATCTGAATGGCAACGATTCCTATCCCGCCCTTCCCTCTCCTCCAAAAAAAAGGTGTCAATTAATCAAATAACTTACCGATCAATCTCCGCTAGTTTATTGTTCAAATCATCCACTTGGAAGTCATCTGTTTCAACAGCATTTTGAGACAAAATCTGTTGTGTTTTACCACATGCTGCTGTGATCGATTTAGATGTATTGCCTGGAGGAGTGGAGGGGGAAGTGAAAAATACAAACAAACAAATAAAAAAATGATGAATAGAAAGTGAATAAATATATAAATGTGTGCTAAAATACCTAAAAAGTTACAATACTGACCATAAGTATGAGGACTGACCAAACATTACCAGGTACAGCGGGACTCGAACCCGTGACCTAATAAATGAAAATCACCTCAATACACCAATAAGTCACAGCTCCATAGAGTTTGACAGTAATACATAGTTTGGTAGAAGAGAATTTTAAATACATGGACATACCAGAGCATGACAATTTTCAGAATCACTTGTAATATATCTAACTAAATGTATGAGGGAGGTATCATCATCATTACATCATCGAGAAACTATGACTGTTCCATCACCAGGTGAAAGACAAAGAGATAAACTACACAAAATCGACGTAGAACCTCGCATACAAGTGGATCCGCTTCAAGTTGACACACTTCACAGTAGTATACAGAGAACAAGTGGTTGTAGACTGACTCTAGGTGGTATGACTGAGAACTAATGTCAGTGACGCAGATTATACAACATTATCTTCATCTTAACGAAGCTATACCGGATCTCACTACTTTCTCATTCTTCCTTTCTCTATTTCAGTATTTTAAATTTCTTCCCAATGAATTTCCTTTTCTTCATCTCACACTTAAGTGCGTTTTTACTTGATATGGTGGGTGATATGAGGTGTGTGGCAAGTGGGACGGTTACGCAGTAACGTCGTGTCCCACGTTGATTTGGATGAATGAATGGATGGAGACTGCCGTATGCCAACGTACGACACCGGCTCAAATAAGATTACAGTCTAACAAATCTCTGTATGTAAGATGATGCTTCAGGTGGGGTCTTCAACCACTAACAGTTTAATGATACGAAATGAAGTGGTACAATGGAGAGTTACATCAAACTGAACAGATGCTCAGCGTAGTCACAACAACACCTGGGACCAATCTTTGAATGTTCATATGAGTTGTATTGAGAGATGTGCACTGCTTGGTTGGGGTCATCGAGACAATAAGAATCAATGGTTGAGAAATCTTGGTGACATAGATGAAAATCGATCATAATGGAGTACGTGCATTCACTCTCTGACACCTTCTACAGCTTCAATACTTCGACTAACCTTTACCTTCAAGTTGATTATTGTTAAATGTGAATAAAGTAGACAATTATGGGATTTATTGTCTGGAAAACAACTGTTTTCATAAGGTCGAGAAGCGTCAGAAACTTATGCTGTTGTTTTTTTTTGTACATACACATTGACCCCAGCTATTTTTAGAATTCCAACGATTCATCTCTAATATTTCAATAACCTCAGTCACTCAGTTAGTTTATGCTTCATGAACTCATGCTAAATCATGTTCTCATCATGTTTAGCTTTCTTCAGCATCACTGTGAAAAATGGATGACTGACTATTAGTATTATTATTATTATTATTTATCCCTTGGGTTCCTAGTGGAATATAGGGCTTCAGTAGCACATCTCCAGTTCACTCCGTTCTCTGCAAACTTTGAACCTGCCCCACGAATGCTCACAAGCTCTCATTTCTTCCTCACACCATCTCCTCCATGTCACCCTCAGCTGAAACGTCCAACTCGTTGTTTCTCATCTGAGTTACACTCGACGGCTGGCCTGGCCCGTGATGTCCCCAATCCGCCTTCTCAGTGTATGCCCAATCCAATCCATCTCCACTTCCTTCCTCTGCATATTTGTTCGGTGATAGGTCCTTGCTTCGTTGGTTCGTTGCCAGCCAACCAGCCAACCAGCCAGACTTCCTTCTTGCTTATTCCTATTATTCTCGCCATCTGATCTTCAGTGTCAGTATCAAGTGAGCCAGCGTAAGTGGCAGTTGTTGATGAATATGTGTAGTTTGTTGGAAATGCCTTTTGTAAGGCACCAAGTCCCTGGGCCATACAGAATCACTGACTGACCTGACTGAATTGGTGTTGAGAATTCGGATGTTGTTGACGCTTTATGCTGAGTTCAGTTGATCTCCACACTGATTGGTTTCAGATTAATGAACACCTGTCTTCCTGTCTTTCCAATCCTGGCTGGCTTTGACATAATCGTCTGTGCCTGTGGCGCCACCTGTAGTTGAAAGGATGCCGTCCTGTCCAGTTGGGTAGGTGAAAGAGGCTACTTCCTTCAAGTTTTTCCAGTTTTTGGTGATTGCAGCTTGTTGTTGGTGTGGCGTTGGTTGGGTATCTTCATCACTCCACTTCTCTACGTTCACTTGAAGTCCCATTAACAATAAGTTGACAGATATTCATTACAAATACTGAATAGGATAATTCATTATGTATGGTAATGATGGACACTGGCTAGTAGTGGAATCCAGGATGCGCATTTCAGAGACTGATCAATTCGGTTCAATCAACGACGGTGTCATATACAAGCAATAACACTAAACCTATACCTATCGCACAACAAGTAGCTATCGTGGTTCGGTGGTGTAGTGGATAATGCTTTCACGTTTGAAGCAATTGCTCCCGAGTCCAAGTCCCAATGGGAAAATTATCACTCACTTGGGAGGTAGGTACATTCAGCTGACAAGTCCCAAACAGAATGAAATGCGCATCCTGAATTCCAGACCTAGCCACTACCCATCATTACTATGCATAATTAAAACACAGGCAATATTGAGGCATCCGGCACAGGAGCCCATGTGACACCAGAGACTGATCAATTCGATCTAATCAATTGAATATTATGCTCTTTTTTTGGTTCCACTACTATATACGCATATTTCATTATGATAGACAATAATTTGGTATAGATCATTATTCAATGTAGACATAATATACTTATACCAAATAAATTCATTCGGCAGTAGAACTTCATACTGGAATAAACCGTCTATAGTAAGAAATACAGTTATTTGTCGTGATTCAATCGATAATAGTAATGATAGAAACCTTCTTCAATGAATAACTTAGAAAAGATCCTTGATCCAGTAACTAATCAATTCAGTAATTAACTCATTCATAATTGAGATGATAAACAAACATTATCAACAATTACATGATGATTTAATGTGTGTAAATCACATTTTCTTCGTAACATATCACTATTCTCCTCCTGTATAATATCAATCATTGGATGTATCTATTCAGGATTGGTGGTTACATGTTCAATTACATCATTACTAAGCATTTGTTGAATAGTTAAAGAGATAAGCTTTTTATTTACATAAAGAATAGGATAACAATGAAATAATTTAGACGCTTTAGCATCGTGTTGAAGAACATTCTATACTCAAGTTCAGATGGTCATCATCATCATCAATATCAACATAGGACAAGGCATTACTGCATGACAGTCCCACTTCCCACACACCTCACTACATCAAGTAGAAAGGTAGTGAGGAGCAACATGAAGATAAGAGAATACAGTCAAAAGAAATATAAAGTATGAAAACAGAGCAAAGAATAACAAAATGGTGAGATTCGATATAGCATCGTTAAGATGATGATAATGTGTGTGGGGATACATCTACACCACTGACATCACTTCTCACTCATATCATCTACAGTCAGTCTCCAAACACTGCTCCCTCTCCCTCTTCTCCGCACACCCCCAACCACTAGTCTACATCGCCACACATGCCTCAAACAAACACTCAGAGACTTCATACATTCGTGTCATGTTTCACTCTGACCGCTCTTTCTCGCCTTTTTCCAGCCTCAACCTACTTCGGCCAACATTGTGTGATGAGGCAATCGGTGACTAGGCATATGTAGTACGTGTCCCAGCCACCCATCTCAGTCGATCAACATTCATAACCTCATCAACTGATTTACCTCTTCTCTATTCCCTAAAACTCTATACCTGACTTCTGCATTAATCAGGTGGTGACACCACGGAATATGGCCTATACTATACTACGAAGGTAATGGTGGTCAAACACCTGAAGCCAGCCTTCTCATTATCTTTCACTTTCAATTGCCAGGTTTCACAGCCATACAATAGAACAGAGTGGACTGGTGTGTAGTACATGCGACCCTTAATAGACAATCGGATATCACACCAGAGCCATAGGTGGCGCAAATTGGTAAAAAGCAACCGAGCGTTTTGTATCTGTGCAGAGATTTTATCGGCCACTGAGCCACCAGCGGAGGATTGATCCTACTTCCCAGGAAAGTGAAGTGGTCAACACACTCAACCACTTCACTCTCTATTGTTAGCCGTGTTACTGCTAAAGACCAATCCTGGAGCAAAAATTTACATTTGGGTGGTGAGGATCGCATCCCAAACATTCTCAAATTCCCACTGAAAGTTTTCAGAAGACTCTACATCTTGTCAGCGTCTTCACTTAACAGGACTATGTCATCTGCATATTCTACGTCTAACGAAAATTCTCCTGTGATTAGGTTAACGTTTGTGTAACTGGTGACGAGAGGGAGACCTCCATGAGAATATCTATGATAAAATTGAATTAGAATGGAGGCATTGGGGCATCCTTGAGGACACCACTTGATGAGCATACCTCCCTGGACAACTCACCATAGGCTTTAACGATCCCACAAGTGTTCGAGTAGAGAGAGCTTTCAATAAGATGATGTACTTACTTTGCACGCCTTTCAATGAGAGACATTGCCATAAAACTAATAGAAACAGCTTATCAACGGAGAATAATATCACCTGAAGCAAAATTACCCCTTCCTGATGCACGTATTGTTTACTTTCTGGTGAGTAATAATCAACTTCCAGTTGCAATGGGATTGGATTTAGCTGCACCGGTTACAATTATACCGAATTCATTATATAAAGCATACTTATCCAATTTACCAATTCATCCTATATCATATAATTTTAGTAATTATAATAATGATTATATCAGTATGTGTGGTTATATTATGTGTAGATTGAATGTGTAGGAGAATATAGCTGAGGTTGCAGTTTATGTAGCATTGGGTAAAAATCGTTATCATCATCATCATCATCATAGTAAACCTTTACTTGGTCGTAATGGTCTGGTTATAC